ATTACCTAAAGCACACATCCTTCTGCAACAGACACAGCACCGTGGCTCTAGAGAGGGGCCCTATAATGCACTGCATAATACTAATAAACATGATTGTTATAAAAAGATAAGGTTACAGAACATTACACTTTGCCAAACACCAGCTGACTGTAACTTCAGGTTTGGGCTGAGCCAAGAGCCAGATTTTAACCTTCAGCAGTAGTAGCTATTCAGAGGGTTGTTCTAGCGCTGCTGCCAGGAAAAACTGCGAGTGAAAGGTCTGATTTATCACACATTGGGGCTGCAAACCTGTGCTCGGGTACCAGGCAGTTGCTTGTCAGGTTGCAGAGAAAGTCTGGAGGAAACCCTGCATTTGGAAGCGGCTGGAATTCCGGGTTCTGTTCTGAACAAGCAGCAGTGCAGCAAGAGGAATGCGTCCTGCCTCATCATGCACATGCAAAAAGGATGGATTTATCCTCATGTTGCTTTGCCATCCACCCCCCTCCAAAACCAGCCCAGTTTTGAAGCAAAGTTTAGGGTATAATAATGGGGTTTAATATAAGAATCTAGTAGAGCAACCTCCTCTTATGCCGATGCAAACAGAAAACAGTGCTGGGGACAACATGACTCAAGACTCCTGTGAAGTTCCTGAAGGCTGGAATATTGGGAGTTAGTTTTCATGTATTCACATTTCCTTTTCTCTCCCTGTAGTTATCATCTGCTTTATTTTCCATAGAACTGCTCCAAGTTCCTTTTGACAGTAGTTTTTCTTCTTATGTTTCTTTTAGACTGCCTGTGACTATAAAGCTTTTATGAACCACTTCAGACATGCCGTTTTGGAGGGATATATACATAACCTACAGAACAAACAGGCACTATGCATACTAAATGCATATCACTAATTATAATCTCCCTGCTGATGCCAATCATAAGAACAAGTTAAAGCCATTGAGAGGGGGAGAGTGAAAAACTCATCTGCGGCTGGCAAGGTAGGTGTACTTGACATGTCCTTTTATTAATGCTAATTATAGAGATCCCACAAATGGATGTCAAACAGTTCCAGGGTGTTTTGCTAAGAAATTTCTGTGATGGCAAAGGGAAGAACTCCACCCCAGCAGATCGTTTCTTCTTGTTTGCTTTACTATTTTCACTGTTTTACTTTTAGGGTAACCAAGAAAGAGAGAAAGAAAAATCCTTTCTGGCCTATGGTCAGTTGCTGTTTGCCCCTCAGCTGGAACAGAGGGCAAATATAACCAGAATCTGCTTCCTTCAAATGAACTGAGAATGAATTAAATGGGAGCAGCAGGACTAATTCTAGTGGCTGGTTGGATGAGTCCCTACATCTCCTTTGCAGCGCAGCTTGCATCTCCCATCTCTCACTCTGGCACTAAGGACCATTCCTACTCATTCTGCCCCACAAGCATTTTCCTAAGTGCTGCAATTCATGATCCTCCAGGGTCCCAGTGCAGCCAACTGCCCTTCCTCAGCAGATCAAACACAGGCATCGATATTTGCTCAGGTTCTACTGGGTTTGATCAGACCAAGGCAGGGGTTGGAAGGGAACAGGAATGAAAAGCATCCGACTGTCCCATCTCTCCCTCTCTGAAGGGAAAGCTTGCTTAATCCCCACTGGTACAGAATCAGAGAAGCCACAGCCTTCCCATGACTCCCTGGATTTATGCTAATAGAGCAAAATCTTTTGTATTATAAGAGATCCATCACGATGGGACATCTCATTTAAATAATGGCACCTATTTGTGCTCACACCCAGGGCACTCCTACATGCTCACACCTTTAAACGCTGACACACAGCCCCCTTTTTATGCAGGATTCCTCAGCTCCTGCAGCACACCATAAGGTATTACAGCAAAGACACAGCACACTCTGCTCTTTAACCCTTCACATCCAAATGGCTATCTCCCTCCCAGGTTCAAACTCATAGACCAAGGCTGTTTCCCACCCAGCAAACTCTCTCAGTCCAGTTTATTGCTACAACAAGCCTGGGTGCCTTAAACTGAGGCCAGAGAGCGATGGCAGCCTGTTTATTTAGAAGTTAAGAGTTTAACTGGCAGCAGGTATAAACAGAGATAATTCAGTGCACGGCCCAAGAACCCGGCCACGTTAAACACCAGAAATAGGATATTTTAACAGGAGAATCAAATGCATCACAGATTCCTCATTAATTGCCCTTGCACAGCTGTCAGCTACTACCAGACTTTAACTAGACCACATGAACAAACAAGTCAGTAAACCCTTTGCCCTCTCCCTCCCCATCACCCACTTGCTGCACAAACACACTTCCTTACAGCAGGAATTCCACAGCCTTGTACAAGTCTGGATACGTTAGAACCCAAACCCATCCTGTCCCTTCAGATAAACTGAATAATCGGCTCCATCCATGCCCCTCATCACATGCTCAAGTAAATGGACCAAACCTCAACGAGAACAACGCAGCTGCACGTGCTTATAGCATCTGAGAACTTGGGCTGAGGTCCAGAGCCTCAAAAGAGGCTGAATTGCCTAATTTCTATTGAAATAACTTGGGGTTAGACACTTAAATACCTCTGAAAAGCCAGGCCCAATGTTGTTGTTCTATATTTTTAATTAACTAACGTAAGCCCAGACAGAATTAGTACTAAAAGCTCTTAATGGGCTACTCTGTAGTAGTGCACTCGGGTCTTATTGCTCTTGGCTGGCTAATAAATTATATTTTTATTTGCCAATAAAACAATAAGAATAATTTCTGTTATTCCACTTGCAGATGAAGTGATTTCTTCCCCCACAAGTGTTGGCAAATGCTAGAATAAGCTCTGGAATACCAAATGATTCATGTATCAATAGAGAAGCAGTGGGGAAAAATACCCCGAGCAAACAAAAGCAGCAAGAACAAGTTGTAATCTGCAGCTCAAATCCATTACATTGCAGCTCCCCATCAGTGGATGTCTCAAGACAAGCATTTGCTGACCTCCACAGCAGGTGGGATTTACTGTATGAAGCCAGGAGAGGAGGAGCTGGGGGGGCATGAGAGTTTTGGCTCTGTCACAGGTAGCTGAGCAGTGTTTTTGCAAGCTCTATGAAGCCTTGGAACAATAAGTGATGCCTTTTGGTAAGGTCACTTGGGCCAATCCATCACCCATCTGCTTCTGCAAGCAATGGCATAATGAGGAAATGCAATAAAACTGCAGAAGAACTACTCACTGATACTCAATACACAGGTAACCTCTTCAGAGCCAAAGTAGCCAAGTCCCACCTCAGGCACAGCTCATAGCACTGCCAGTGGGTGAGCTCCAGCAAAATCACCTCTTAGCATTATGTTTCCCCATAGTGTGAGTTATAGGCAATAACCCTGAGCTCCCCAAGAGTAACATCCCCCTTCTGCAATGACACAATTATCCTTTACCATTCAGGACCATTTTCAACAATGATAATTTGTCCAGGCCAGGCACAGATGCAGATATGAACCTTTATAAAGAATGAGAGTGAAGGAATGAAAGAACACCAATATTACACGTGACCATAAAGGCATTCAGTGGGTGTCAGATGACATACAACATTTTGTCAGAACATTACACTGCTATTCACTATGACGTCCTCAACTTATCAATTCATAATAATACCCAGCTAGCTCCAATGAAAATATTTATACTGAGGCAGTGACTTTCCCCTCAATATCCTCACAATGTTTTACCACAAAGACAAGCTCAGAAATCATTTGCTACAGGTATCATTAAACTCATCTTCGCCCTGCTGGAGCCTGAAAACCAGCCAAGGAAACCTGAGCTGTTCTTGCATGAATTTACTTGATACACACTTCTACAATACTGTGTTGAATACAGATGATGGGGAATCTCCACAGGGGAGCTTTAAGCAGCTCCTGAGATAAAGCCACCCCCAAAAGCAATATGAACACACTAAACAGGCTACTCTGAAACAAGCAAGCAGTTATTTCCATTCAGATAGAGATGAGTTTGTAGAAGGGTTCTAAACAGACTGAAAGGGATGGCCAGAACCACATCCCAAAGCAACTGCTGCACCCAAAGCTACAAGGCAACGTACACCAAAACACCTGCATCTCTTGAAGCACAGGGAACCACTGGTCTTTACCAGAGAGACAAAACAGCACAAAGAACCTCTTACCTCTAGTCCATAGTGCAAACCGTAGTGCTCCAGGAAGGAAGTTGCCTCTTCACCCCCAAACTCAGGCCTGGGGTGCTGTCTGCAGCCCAGCTTTGGGCACTGCACCTCTTGCCAACCTCATTTCCAGCAAATTCTGTTCAGTTTGAAACACCTGAGAGCAGGACCCAGCCCTGGGTACCGCAACTGTTGGCAATCACAATAATCATCACCAGCTGGGACAGGGTGGGGTGATCAGCACCAATGTGCGGTTGGAATAAGGAAGCCTTTCTTTTATGTCTTTATGTTTTATTCCCCTGAAAGCAATGACAATTCCTTGGATCCCTTGGACAGGACCAGGAAGCAGCATCTCGTACCTAGGAAAGATAAGAAATTAAAGATGTCTGGGTAATTCCTGCTGGTATCACTTGCAAACTGAGCAATCCCAGACTGAGAAATCAGATTTAGCACCTCCATTCTGGAGAGGCATGTTGGGGGTATCAGGATTTCAGCACTTTCCAATGTGATAACTGGCTAATCTGCTGAAAAGAAGCTAATTATGTTCATAGTAATGAAGTTTGGTTTTGAGAGACTGTGTTTTCCCTCTGAGAACACGAGCTACTCGGAACACAATGTTCAGGTCCCTCTGATCCCATGGATTTTGTAGATGTGGATTTCCCATCACTTTGATACTGTGTTAGGGCTGAGGTTTCCCTCACAAATTTGCTTTCTTTTTCCTTCAGGGATTTCAAAGAGGGAGGAAGGAGTATCTTTTTCCACCCCTTACAGTGTTTTCTTGATGAATTTAGAGTCATACACACATTTAATACCATGAGATTAAACTTTTCTCCACTGCATTACATAAATGTGTTTCTGATAATTACAACCACAAGCCTCATTGTTTGGGCTTTTGTGATCATGTTATCCAGTGAAAACCTATATGCTCACCAAGGTGTACTAAAATCCATAGTAAAGTAACCACAGAGTAAGTTACCTCAAACAAAGTTCATAAACGGGGTTCTCCATTACTCCTTTCCTTGCAGGGTCATTTATACCAATAGAAAGTGTGTTCAGAGTGGTTACAATATTCTGCTGGTCTCATTTAGCAGCAGTTTGAGACCCCCCTTGGAATCAGGAAGGTGACAAAGTGCAACACAAAAGAATACAGAATGCCATGAGAGAGGTGATCTGATCATTTCCATGTATTATATTAGTTCATTTTCGCCACGGACACTGGCAGAGTTGCAGCACAGCACTGGGAAGCACCAGGTTCCCTATTTATCCTCTGTCCCTATCTTCATGTCTCCAGCAACTGAAGCACATGAACAAGAGCACAGCAATGTGTGAGCAAATCCATGCACACACTGTCACTCTGCATGGGTTGATGGCCACAATCAGTGGGGATGCTTAAGCTCTGCATTGCCAGACAAAACCAGTGTTGACCTGTAGATGTGAATTTCTGCTGCACAGTGACTCATCTACTGCTCTGACCTTCCCTCCTTTCTTTCCTATTTTATGCTCAGTGCCTGTAGCAAAAGTGTACATTTACAGCTCTCCTGGAAACACAATTAGAGAAAATGGTAGTAAATGATACTGCAGAAACTATAAATGGTTCCAGAAAGACAGCAACATGTGCCACAGAGTATTCTGGCTAAAAATATATCTGGAACCAGCCTGTCATTTGGAGGATTGGCCTGGTTCAAAGGATGCTGTTGAAACGCTGCCAATTCATGCCAACTGATACCAGTATTTTTGTTGGTAACGAGGCAAAACAGAGCCAAGGGTGGTCATTTATGTCCTGGCATTTTTAATTTTATCTTGAGGTTCTGGGGACAGGAGAAGTATAAAAAGCACTTCCCTCGTGAGGTTTATGTTCAAGAAAGGCTTAATATAAAGAGAGCCTCATATCATACACACAGAAACTCCCCAAGCTCTTTTGCATGTAGAAAGTACACACGCACCGTGTCTGAGAGCCCGACTGCAACACTTACAGACTTGTTCTATCAACCTTCTCTAATTAGCTGAATTTAACAACTACCCTTGCCAGCGCGAGGATGAGGATAAAGAAATTCATCTGAGCATCTTGGCACTGATTTCTAACCCTGCTGTTCCCATGCTGGTACACCCTGTTTCAGAACAGTTTGTTACCTGACACCTAATGAAGGAAAATAGGCACATATAGGTGGTTATCCAAAGCCACAGACCTAAAACTAGAGCAGAACAGACTGGGATTATGAAACTGCATCCAGTTCAGAGTAAAAACCAAAGGTGGCAGCTGCTTTTTCAGGCTCTCTTGGGAGTCTGTTGTCTGTCCCAAAATATGGGAGGTATTCTCAGCAGGTCCCTTGGAGCCATGAAAACTCTTGTTTCCTTCTATGAAATTCAGGTTTCGTTCTTGCATCTGTAAAAGAGCATCAAATCTGTGGCTAGATGGATCAAAACATGCCTCAGCCTTCAGATTTGGGGACTAAATTGGAGAGGGGAGGGCAGGGAACACTCCCATGTATCATTTGGGATCAGAATACAGACTTCAACCACAATTTCCACATGAATCTTGACCTGCCACTGGCTGAAGCAGATGTATTCCATCATCAGTAAACCCCAAACCGTGGGTGAATCTCAGCTGATGCTCTGACCATAGTGTCCCAGTATACCTTCTGGATCACTGGGCCTGAGATTTAAAACATAACATTCATAGTAACCCTTTTCTTTCTTTTTTAGTTTATTCCTGTATTCCTGTGCCTTTCTAATACAGTGTATTCCTGTACATTCTAGTACATCCCCAGCCACTGCACTGAGTTTCTTGCCTCAAAGGTACAGGACAACAGTTTGTGGCCAGAAGCCAGCAAAGAGTGGCCACTACCTGTCTGTGGTACCAAACACTACCTGGACTTGGGCTCCCCTTTTCCAACATGGCTTTTCATCTCTGGTTTCCCACTGCCCTCTACCAGCTGCCTGTGCCTAGAGTATCATTCAGAAGAGCTACAGAATGGATTTAGTTTGGCACAGAACAACAGGCCTGGGCCAGAGCCTCCATGTGGGCTCCTTTCCTGAAGGCCAATGTAGGTGGGAGAATTTCATGGCAGATCAGGATTTTGCTGACCAGGAAAGCAAGGCTCTTTCATGGCGAGGCCACTTCATTCAAAAGCTACATGACTTGGCAGCCCAAGGAGCCTTTTCCTTGCATGCTTGTCAGTTATGCTGGCAGCACATGGGCAGTCCGAGCTTGTGCTTCATGGATTTCACAGCCCCTGGATGGCTTTGTACTGTGTGCCAAATAGGGAACAACAGCCTAAGAAAACAAAGCTTGTGCTATCATGCAACCTGGGAGGGATTTAGTCTCCATGTAAATGTTTCCAATGAGCAATTGTGTGAAGGTCACAATTTACATTACAGTGATTGCCCACCGCAGGAGGCATCAGCGTGGTTAACCTCCTTCTCCATGTGCATCGTATCAGCAGAAACGGGATGGATTAGTGTTACATTGTCAAACTGCTCTTTGGGGATCCTGGTTTACATTTCAGCTCTGGCTGGCAAACGATTCTTGATTCTTCTATGTGAGAAGACCATCTCAAACCAGGCGAGGAACAAAGCACTTGCATTTCAAAGCATGCAGGAGACCATTTCTAGTGGAGCCCCTCTATCCTTAGCAGCTCAGGGAAGGCACTTTGCTGCATATGTTTTGTTGAACCCCTTTCCAGTACTCCTAGTGCCAAGTGTGGGAGTTCGCCGCTGAGATTGACCTTTCTTATCCACATAGAGAAGTGTGCCTCTCCACTCCTGCTCCACCATCATGTTCCTCAGCCTGCAGAGCAGCAGGTTGCAGAGGTGAAGGGCAGAATGCCACCCTGCGGTGTCTGACCTTTGAAGACCTTACTCCAAAAGAGAGTGGTTTTGCCAGGTGAGTTTTAAGAAGCACTTACCCGGCAGAACTGATGCCACCGATCATCAGCTTGCAGCAGCCATGTTCTTTGCTTCAATAAATAACCTTCCCATGCGGAATACACATCTGGCTCTATGGCATATGGCAGAGATTTCCTTAGTTTTGAAATCTTTGGTTCTTGGAAGTGTTTCATTTTGGAGAACCCTCTGGAAAACAATGAGACAATTCCAGAGAAACACTGCATTAGGTCAGAAGGTTCTTCTGCATCACCTTTCTTCCCCGCCACACCATCCCTTTTCCTTCCCCTCTTTAAGGACCATTTCAGCAGGTGCTATATTTAGACCCATCACTTTTACAGACCTGGTAAACATGTCCTGCTACCGGCAACGTGGTCTGACTTGACTTTTGAAGGAGATGGTGAAATGAGTTGTGTTTGGCTCAGCCTGAAGGGCTGCCTGGCACAGATCTTTGCAGGGAGCAGAAAGGAAACCTGCCTCTGGGAGCACGCAGACACCCAAACACTGCAGGAAGGGTGATATTACTCACAGTAGTTGGTACTGGGGGTTGTGTAGGATGGCACTCGATCTTGGAAGCTCTTTGAGACAGCGACAACGTTTTCTTTGCTCTGTTTAGCAGCCTGGCATCAGTTCTGCTCACGAACAGGACTCCTAGACCATAAACAAATACATACAAATAGTAGTGGTCAGTTGAAGGAGCAGGTAGCCAGTCAGTCCTGAAAATGCACTATTTGTGCAGTTGTTAATTCTCCTCATTCTGTCCCTCACACTGCACTGGCCATTATGCACTCTGCCATTTGTCTCCATAAATCCAACTGGATTTCAGTGCTGCTGTGTTGTCATTGCCCCATCAGCTGGTGCTGGTGATGTATTAACTGGCAACACCACCAAATCCCCAGGGGACACCTTCTGATGCCCCTGAAGCAAAACGCACCTAACCAGGCATGGTGGACAGAATGAGGCTTACTGACATGTGTGGGTATCAGAGGCAGATTGAGACTGACAGGGAAGTAGTGAGTGGCAAAGGCTGGGGGAGAGATCCAACGCAGCTCTGCCATTGCCGAGGCTGACATTTAAATTGCAGGCAGCCATGGGCTCATTCCAGGAGCCGCTTGTGGTTGGATGCAGGTTTGATCATGTAGAGGAGAAGCAGGAAAAGAAAAAGGGGGGAAAAAAGAAAGAAAAATCAAATTGTTCTCGGAAATCATGTTTAATGTAGAAATCTGGTTAATATTAAACTGTAATCTGCAGTTTTCAAGTACACTATTCCTCCAGGAAAACGTTTCCTGTTTGAGTACTAAGGGTTCCCTTATTACATCACTTCCTATGTCAGACCCAACAAGCCTTCAACATGCATTAGTGTATTGATAATGGGAATTTCAAAATGATTGTTTGGGGAAAAAAAAACCCTATCTGGGCAATACTCCAATCATATGGATCAATTTAGCTTTGGAATAATGGGGCCAAGCTGGTATTTTTGACACTGCGTCCAAATAGTACTTTCAGGAGAGGTGTTCTCCACTGCAATTCAGTTTCAGGAGCATGTACGTGTTTGGCCAGCAATTATAGCACCAGGTCTATTTATTCCCTGCTAAACTGACTTTGCAGGCAGAATTCCCCTTAATCCCACACAAACTGCAAATTGATAACTGTGCCTGGACTGGAATGAACATTATGCACCCAAGTGTAATAATTTATACTAATAATAATAATAACAACCCACAAAATACCTGGACACTTTTACACACAGCAAAGACATATATTACCCCAAAAAGCCCAACCACTAATAACCAATTCTGCCAGCAAATGTACACACAACCCTGAAAGCCTCACAAATTATGAGAAGGAATTCTTGCAGGAAGACACCACTTATGCTTTCTATAAAATACTGATGGAAAGAGCTTTCCAGACCTGTTGACAAGCCCAGAAGAAGGCCAGAACTCCACTTTTAGCTCTATCAGGCTTAAAGATCGTTCATGGTTTAAGATGTTAGCTACCATGGTGTGAGCCATGGGTCTTCATCAGAAATGTTCATAGGATACTGACAGCATCACGGTTACTTAAAGACTAACTGGTTCAGTAACTTCTCAGCCTAACCTTGGTTCAGCTAAATACACTTCTCATTGTGGAAAGAGAGAAATGACTGAAAAAATCCATTCGAAATCTCTTTATGAATCCAAAATAAGATTTAATTTGGGGAAAAAAAAATCAAGAAAATGAAACTCAAACCAAAATATTTCTACAGGAATCTAAATGCAATGGTTTCATTAACTGCAGTGTGCACTGACTTGAAAAAGGCCTCACATTATCTGATGGCAATGAATTCTTGGATGGTGTATACACTGCTTTTCTTGGAATTACAGTGATTTTCAGCACAAGAAGTCACTGCTCAGTTAGATAAGGAAGTTGTCTCCTAAACGTTCCAAATGCATTTCTATGTACACTGGAGTCAGATTTGTTCTCCCTAGAAAAGGTTAATGTCAGCTGTTCTGATTGTACCAGATGATTATTCTTTTTGATAGGTAATTTAGTTCTCTATGAAACCCTCTAGACCTTAAAATATCTTCTAATAGGACCATTGTCTCTTTGAATGGACCTTTGTATTACTTGATGAAAAAGAATTTTACTTCAGAATTTAACTATAGCTGCATTTCCATCACTTGAGCCTAGATTCTCCTTTCATTTTCTAAGCCCTGACCTGCTATTGGAGCTGCCACCAGCCTGATTTTCACAGAGCACCACCAGGAGCCAGTCGTCTTCAGTGGCACTCAATGGGCACAAGCACACAACCTTGCCTTTCCTAAAGGAATAATGAATGTTAGCTGTGCTGAGATACATGGCTATCATTGCTAAATCCAACCACTATTAATGAACTGGCATTTATTTAACATGTAAAAATAGTCTTAGTGAAATAAGTGATAAAGCCAACCAGGGTACCTATAGTCCCAGCAAAACATAATGTACATTCCAAATTTGTCATCAAAATCTTTCTTTTCTTAGCAAAGACAACATGGGTATTTCTGACATATTCAAAAGTGTCCAAACCATGTGTTACATATTAGAAAACTGATCAATTTTCATACTGTTCAAGATATGTGGCTTTATGCATTATATTTGAATGTATAATCACAGCATGGGATTCAAATGCAAGGAAAATGGATCAGCTTTGTATATGCTGCACTTTACAGATGTTATCCTCTTTTATTTACCTGCATATGTGAAGAAATGTATCAAAAATTTACACAGATTCTTCCCTCTTTGCTAATATTGAAAAGAAAAACCCCTGTTTTCTTTAGAGGAGGTTAGGAAAGAGGTAAAGCAATAAAAATACTCTTTAAGTTGTGTTCTCTGATGTAACTCCTTTGAAATCAACGTCAGCTGATGAAAAAAACCTGCTGTTGCATTGAGAACAGGCTGAGAACGAAAATATCCTTTCCTCTCACTTATACCAGGCAAATACAGAAAATTAGTTCAGAGCAATAGGTCAGTTTTGCTGCTGGAATAACTTAAACTGGCTTCAGAAGTCAGCTCTGCGGGACCTGCCCTTCTTCCTCGCAAAGTAACGTGAAATCCGCAGTGATCCACAGACAAATCTGGACTCGGCTCTCCCGATGCTCCTATCAATGCACAGAGCAAGATTTGCCCAAGAGAACTGGACCACAGCAAAAAACCCTCTCAGTGGGATCTGTCAGCCCTCGGCATTTCACCCAAAACCTCCAGATTTAGAAGAGCCCGAAGTTAAGTGGGGACAGCGACTAAACCAGCGTGAATCGAGGTGTTTCCATTGAGTCCTGCAGCTAAAGATCTGGCCCTGGGCCCACGCACAGATTTAGATGGGGTAACAGAAAGCAGACTGCATCCCTCCCGCCACCCCTCTGTCTGCCCCTCTCCCTCCTACTAACGCTGGGCAGAGTAAATCCCAGTGCCAGGCCGGCCTCCGGAGGTGCAGCTTGTAAAGAGGCTGTTGCAGACTGGCGGAGTCATACCCTAGAACAACAAAATCCATTGGCAATAGGGAGCAGAGAGAAAGCGGCTCATTTTTCAAGGGCTTTCTGCCCCGGCTCCATCCAGGAGCCAGCCTCACAGACTTCCCAATATTTTCATAATTAACTGAGCTGAACGTTCATAATTTGTAAACACAATAAAAAGCGCTTTGAGACACAGGGTGTGCAGTCAGAGGGAGAGTGTGTGCGATGGGGGAACGGTGCCGGGCTGAGGGGCAGGAGGGGGACGTTTCCTCAGGCAATTTACATCTGACTCAGGAAAGCTGGGAGGGTGCCCGCCGCAGGGATCAGGCTCACGACTCAAAGCGATTTTTCTTGAAGTGTCACTGCAACATACAACCACCATGTGTTCTTTCTTGGCTCCGCTTTCCCTGCTGATGCTCCAACGCTTGGACCGGCTGCTCCTGCCTGCCCGGTTTGCATCCGTTCGCTTCGGCAGGGGAAAGGACAGAACTGCGTTTTGATGCATGTAAGCGTGCTCCCCTGGCCCTCCTCCTCTCACCTCCACAAGAAGGGGCCCTCCTGATTTTGGGGATTTGGACAAAAGTGCTAGGGGTTAATGGGCAACAAGGTCTAGGATGTGTGTCTCTGTACGGGAGACAGAGGCTGTGTGAGGAAAAGGAATGAAATACTTCAGCAGCAATCCAAATCGTGTTTGCCAGACTCAGCCACCTCTGCTGATCTGCCAGCTCCTAACCGAAAACGAAAGCCCTGATCCACTATTGTTCTGCACTTGGGCTCATCCCTTACACTGGTTTGAATAGGTGCAAAATGCTTCAGCTCGGAACCGGACCCACACTGGGCTTGTGAGAAGTAATGGGATTAGCTGGGGTTGGGAGCAATCAGAGCACCAGGGGAGTAGCGTGTCTGAAGGCTGTAAGTAACTGTCAGTCCCACCGTGCCGAAAGAGGACACTAATTCGGTGCTGTTTCACAGGGATGATTTAATCCTTACCACCATCTGGATTCTAGCTGGAGGCCACCCACTCAAGCAGTGACCAGCTCGCATGCTGCTTAGCTTGGATGATTTGATGCGATCGCAACCTGAGGCTGTAGAGCTGTCACAGGGGAAAATACAAAACAGCTTCGTTTACAGAACCGAGTTCAGTTTCACTTCCCAGTGAAAAAAAAAACCTAAAAAAACCCAAAAGAACTTAAAATATAGTAATTCTGAGAGTTGCAAAATCTCCTGTGAGTGACAGCAGTTTCTGTGGGGCACACCGTAGTGATTTATGTCTTGAAACAGGCAGCTGGCATGGCTGCAATCAGAGCCACGGCTCTCCTGACCACTGCCAAGTCAGCGCAGCACTGACATGCCAGGTCCCAATGATTCCATCACCTTCCTCTCCTCCATCGTGGGTTTCTCTTCTTGGCGGCCGGCAGCATGGCTGCAATGCAGCATTACGGTGAAGAGGGATGCTGGACATGCTTGGCAACAGCCACAGCTCAGCTCGGGCCATGCAGTGGGGGCGAGGTGCTGGAGGCAGTGCTAAGCAGAGAACGACACGTCGACCTTACTGCATGGAAATGCCTCTGAAGCAGCCAAGAGCCAGCCAGCACACGCCTGTGGATGGAAGGACCATGCAACACTGACTTCTCTGCTGCATTTTTTGTTTTTTTTTTTTTTAAGGATATTGTTTTCATAGGCATGATAAAGCAGGACAGCCTCAAGTCACTGATACGGTTGACTTGTTCTGGTGCATCTTAACTCCTCCATTGCCAAACTCAGATGTTCTCCTTTTGCTGTTTTTCTGGGGTCACCTGGATTTCTCTTTGTCCATCCTTGCAAGAAAACTCCTTGTTTCATATCCTGGGTCTCAACTAGATCTCACTTTCAGAAGCTCTCCCCTTTTGCAATGCTAGGACCTGTACAGCTCAGATAATGTATGTTGGTCTTCACCTGCACAGAGGATCTTCACTCTCAGCCTGGTGTCCCTTCTGATCTGTGTCATACCCCAATCCAAGATGCCATCAGCACCAGCTCTCTGAGCTGCCCCACCACTGGCTGTTGCTGGTTTTCCCTTAAGGAGACCTGCAAAAATGAGGTGCCTTGACTAATTAAGTAGAGGGCTTTTTGGAGGACCACTAAGGATACAGGAGATTGCAATCTCCAAACCCACCTCGCTTTTGGACCCCCCTGGTGCCTTTGCTCCCACCAGCCTAAGGACCTGCAGTGACTAGTCTTCTAACTGAGCTGCCTGAATGAGGTGTACAACATTCCACGGGGTAAGTAAGCCTCCGAGTTTATCAGCCTGGGTGGTAATGGAGCTAACAATGTCAGAGGGAAAGAGCATGCCTACATGTTCTCCAAGCCGTCCGGATCCGAGCCAGCTCCAGCCTAGCAGCCTTCTAGCTGCATTAACGTGGCACCTCGCCCAAACTAATAAGTCCTGTGGAGAGGCGCCATGTTAACATGGCCATAAAGCTTCCAGATTGGAACAGCTTCCCGGGCAGAGCCTGGGTCTGTCAGCACGGCGAGAGGTAGACCTCGTTGCTGTTGCTGGTCCTCATTTTACAATCCAATTTCAGCAGAGGCAGCAGACCTCCCAGCTTAGCTGTGCCCCTCAGCGCGGGGCAAAGGTGCTGCCCTCGCAGCATCCGCCAGCACAAAGCGGTCCACGTCGGGTGGTTTTACCTCCTTCCTCCCATGCAAAGTCCTGTGTGCGCAGGCACACATGAGTTTTGGTCTGATTTGCTCAGCTCTGAAAGGAAACAAACACCATTTTGGCCTGGAATAACTCAGCCAAATTACAGAAAGGAACGCCACGTCCTGGTTTCTTGTGATGCTTTTGTGCTTTTCATTAAATGAAAGATAAATGGCAGATAATGACTCACTCATCTCCATCCACCTTATAAGCCCCGCAATCAAACCTTATTGCACAGGCATCTAAGGTATGTAGTGCTGAAGAAAAGTGCTTGTCAGGAGGGATAGAGAACAAAGGGTACCTGGAGGTTAGTAAATGTTTTTCATGGGCTCTGTAAGCTGTGGTTTCCTCTATTGGGGGTGTTATACACTTTCGGCTTTCGAGCTCCTCTGTCAGACACCCAGCCAAACAAGGGAGTGATTAGCAGAGTTCCCTCGTTGAGGCTATTGTTGTAGGTATGGTTTTAATACACCCACAGCTCTTGGCACTGCCGTTCATTTTCTGACTCCAGGAAATCTTGAACTGTTTATTGATTCAAAGGCAAGAAATAGAACATTGAGATGGAGCTAATTGGTCAGAGGCACAATCTGCAAGTCACCCAAATAAATATTGCCATTAATTGAGCCCCAGTTTTGGGGGAGGAAAAAGTAGCCCGGGTTTAACAGCGATAATTTCTTGCAAATCTCTGTTTTATTGGTTTGTTTTTCCACGGAGAGACCCTGAAGTGCAGGCTCACTTGAAGACACACCGATGTCACAACACGAGAGCCGATGCCCAAGCCCTCAGTTCGGTGGCTCTGGCACAGATGGAGCCTGGCCTTGCTCTGAAGAAGGGGGGTTAAATCTGCCCGTGACATTTCAGTGTTTGCACAGGAAAAGAGCCCGCAGAGCCCTCTGGCCCTGGCAACCTGGCTGCTTGCTTCTGCTTATGAATGCTCTTCAGTGGTAGATGGGAAGGGATGTGCCTCAGATACGTGAATTGGGCGTTCACTGTCCCGGTGAGAGCCGCACAAGCCTGCGTTAACCACTAAAGAACATTCTCTGCTACGTTGGGATTCTTTTTGGTCTCTTTCAGTTTTGCCTTTCCATCCTTAGAACGATCGACAGGCAGACATTGTCCCAAGCTTCTTTAGGGAAAAAGGAGCCCACGCTT